GCTGCGAGGCGGGCGGGCCGCGAAGCGGGCAGCGGGCGGGCGGGCGGGCTGCGAAGCGGGCAGCGGGGCGAGCGGGCTGCGATGCGGGCGGGCCGCGAAGTGGGCAGCTAGCGGGCGGGCGGGCTGCGAAGTGGGCGGGCCGCGAAGCGGGCAGCGGGGCGAGCGGGCTGCGAGGCGGGCGGGCCGCGAAGCGGGCAGCGAGCGGGCGGGCGGGCTGCGAAGTGGGCGGGCCGCGAAGCGGGCAGCGAGCGAGCGGGCTGCGAAGCGGGCGGGCCGCGAAGCGGGCAGCGAGCGAGCGGGCCGCGAAGCGGGCAGCGAGCGGGCGGGCGGGCTGCGTAGTGAGCGGGCCGCGAAGCGGGCAGCGAGCGGGCGGGCGGGCTGCGAGCGGGCGGCTCGGCGAGGGGCGCGCGAGGGCGCTAGTGAGGGGCGCGCGAGGGCGCTAGCAAAGGGGCGCGCGAGGGCGCTAACGAAGGGGCGCGCGAGGGCGCTAACGAAGGGGCGCGCGAGGGCGCTAACGAGGGTGCGCGCGAGGGCGCTAACGAGGGGCACGCAAGGGCGCTAACGTGGGCGCACGAGGGCGCTACGAGGCTAGGGCACGGGGTAGCGTGGTAACCGCATGCGAGCGGTGGTGGGCCCTTAAAAAAAAAACGGTCGGTAGGTCCTAGGGACCTCCTGCTCTGAATACCATGTCAGAATCACTAGGCAAGAATGGTGCATTGAATGAAACAGTTGGGTACAAGTAGCAAACCCTAGTTGGGGTTGTACCCCATATTGGCTACCCCACTACAGCCTACCAACATATAACACATTACAATTTAACACACCGCGCGTCACTCTTGCGCCTTCATAGTCATCGATGTTGACGCTGTTGCCTTCAGCACGGGGAGAAGCGGACTCAATTTCCACCTCAGCGCGAGGAGGTGGGTGATCGCGATCCCACTTCGCACGAGCTCCTTCAATCATTAGCTCTAGATCCGCGTTGCTGATTTCGCCGCAACTGTGGCGCTCCCGCAAAGCAGCCACATGCGCTTCCAGGTCCATGATTTCCGATGCGGTGCCCTCGCCGGCCATACGAAATCGAAGTGGCTGTCGGCCCAAGGTTGACAACTTCGTCAATTAAATACGAGGCTATCTGAAGGTCGCGTGTTCGATCCACGCTCACCGCACCATGCGGAGAATAGGCGATTGTGGGAGAGCTTTAGGCGCAGAGTTGCACGATCAGAGAGAAGCGTGAGTTTGTGTATATGGACTTCCTGGAAACCGGATACTGGTATTCGGAAAATAACATGCTTGGTGTTCAGTAACAGGCTTGGTATCCAGTAAGGGAAGGAAAGAAATTGATTAATTGATTGATTACAACAGAAACAACATGAACCTTATAGGAAACATAGTGACGTGTGCGAGAAGGTTCTACGAGAATGTTGTTCATGAAGAACGCTGTTCAAAGAGAACGTGCAAGCGCCTACTCTGGTATGCGGTTCCAGGTTGGCACCGCCAGGTGAAAATACCATCAAGTCAAAATAATGTCAGGCACGTTTTCTACTAGCCCAGGAGTAGTTGTGCAGGTGCTCGCAACAGACAGCTGCACATACTCGTTTGTGCAATGTCGTCACTTCCCTCCAATTCGGTTCAGTGTTGAACAGTGCATACCGAAGTGCACTATTGGAGTGTACTCGGCGAATACCGAAGCTCCGGTATGCGGTATGCGAAACCTCCCTACTTCGCATAGGGATGCTACACGCAAAACCAGGCGCGTGCAGGGCTTCGCCTCAACAACCACATGGCTCTCTACTGCCTGTTCCTTCTCGTTACACTCTGTTAACATGCTCCAAGACTGAGTGTCGAGGGCCTGCATCTCGTCCTGCCTCACTTGTGGCTTGTACTCCTCATGATCGTTGTGTTCGCCCTCCACACCATGACACTTCGTCCTTCTTGTGTTCCACATCGTGTTTTCCTACCATTACCTCCCTCGTCCTCCCTTCCTGACGTTCCTAACACTGTCTCTGACTTTGCTCGTACTGCCAGTCCTACAATCACTCGTTGTCTCGCCACACTTGTGAGGGACCCTTCTTTTTCCACCTGCTGCTGCGTCTGCCTTAGTTCCTAACAACCCAATTCCCTAGAATTCTATGCCCCACACCCAACGCACGACTCACACGCGCCCCATAACCCACCCTCATCAAGTTATTGCTCCCCTAAAAACCACCCTCCAATCATATGTGCCCCACAACATGAGTCATACGCCACAACCCAAATTTTGTACACAAGTCCCCCCCACAACCATACCACAGAACCACTCGCCTCAACGCAGGTTTTATGTCGTTAGCTTTGCACAACCCTTTCCCTAATCACTCGTTTAAGGCATGGGTATATTTGTTCAGGTATCATATGAATTAGAAATCCGTTTTTGATGAATCATTTGAACTGAAAGTGTTTTTTCATGAAAAACTAAGAAGCCATAACATTATGCAAGACAAACGGTTGTATTGTGGCAGTGGTGATTCTGCCAATTAAGGCCTTGATAACACCATGTTCATGACACATTCGAGTTGGGATTAAGACAGGAGGTCTGTTATTATTTACCGTTGCAGTATGTATTAGTAAACTTGGTATTCGTTGAATGCATTTTGAACTACGTATAAGCTGGGTTGAGAAAGAGTGACATAGTAGCTCATAGTTCAGTGTAGTGTGGTTTTTATACTAAGAGTTGTACGGCCAAGTTCTCGTAACGGCACGTTTCTGTGCCATGAACATGGTGGTGGTGCTGTTTTGTTGGAGCCATGTCGGCTTCGAATCCAACATAGAGCCAGCTGGCAATGAAACGGCGACTAGAAGGATTAAATAAATAATATATTTGGCGTTGAGGCGCACTTACTCAGTTCGCTGATTAAAAACAGAGCAGCACCAGCATGAAGAAATTGGTTCTGTTGATTAAGATTCTAGTGCAAATCTGCTCTGCAAATTACATTTCCTTTTTCCACCCAGCTCCGAAAGGGTTTTGCCCGAAATTTGCTTAAACTACCCTGAATCTCAACGAATTTGCAGTTCATTGGTCACAGTGCTCTTCCAAGTGGGAAAAAAAAATCCAGCCTGCCTGCTCTGGTCGCTCTGTGAGGCAGATGTGGATGCGATTCGACGACTTAGAAAATGTAACCACCAACCACCACGGACCCAAGGGGAACCAGCGCATGTCTGTCAGTTCAGTCCATCTTCGCCTTCCGTCCATTTCGATCACTGCGGCTTCTCGAGCCCATACACACGCACCACCCCACACTTCGGCCAATGGTGACACTGCATCGCAACATCACTGTGGTTGGGTCTGACGTGCGCTGCTTCTTATCAAACCACAGCCGTCGGATCGACTCTGCTTCTTTTCCGGACAATGCTGTCTCCTCTCCTCCTCCCCCCGCAGCTGATCAAGCCAAGGAACACTGTCCTCTATCACTGTTTGCTGCCTCCGTTAGGATGGAAACAGCAAAGGTCAGTGGACCTCAGAACCAGGGCTGTCGCTTGCCCTGGGCCCAGAACTTAGCGGGCTGAGGTGGCCTAAATTCAGCCCTTAATTTTCCGGGTTAAGTCAAATTCCAACACTTAGATTCAGGGCTATACATCCTTCTGCACTTGAGCTTAAACACATCGTGTGAGTAGGTTGATGTTCAAATACACCTAAGGGCTGTGGTACAGCAGATACATAAGCCGTTCTCAATGCAGCGGGGTGGGTGTATGTAAGGATTGTTTTACGTAATCAGGGAAGGAGAAACAAGGGAAACGAGGGGGTGGGGGAGTAGGGAAGGGCGCTGAACGTATACGTGAAATCCGGGTTAGGAGCCAAACCAGTCCTTAAGAAAAACGGGCTGGCCTCAAAGCCAGCCCTTGAATTCTCTGAGTTGGGCGCAAACAAGCACTTGAATTCAAGGACAAAAAGGGCAAATGCCCTTGTAGCGACAGGCCTGCTCAGAACTCTAAGACAGTCACGTAGAGTGGATGGTGAGCACGACTTCGACCACTCTAAATTCGATGCACATATGGTATCTGCTACACAAGGAGCAGTGATGCCGAAATAGAGCGAGACTGAATTGAGCCGTGCAACACCCATTCATGGCGACAGACACCCAGCGACGGCCGAGCTCCATCTCTCGCCTAATCGCGCCGCCGCCGCTAGACCTCCCGGGTTTCTCCCACCAGCCACCCCCGCAGCAATGCTCTCCTCGCTTCCGCGCGCTCGCACCCTCTCTCTCTGCGCACGACACAAACGCTCCGAGTCGCGCAGCCTCCAACCGTCATGCCACGCCTCGCTCTCCACTCGCCTCTTGCCGGTCTGCTAGCGTGAATAACGGAGAGACCTCGTCCGCGGCGTCGCCTTCCTCGCCTCGCCTTGCCTCCACGCCGGACTCCGTCGTGCCCGGTCGCTGTCGCGCGCGCCAAGGACCCGCGTCCCCGAGTGGCGGTCAGGGTGGCGCGCGCACGGGGCATCTCTCTGCCCACGGCGACTCCCCCTCCTCGCGCTACAGAACCATGGTCGAGTCGAAGAGCTTTCCCGCCGCCACTTCGCCGCAACTGCCGGCGCCAGGCGCGCGGCTTCCTTCGTCGCAGAGCTGCGGCGCTGCCGTTTCGCAGCGCCCCGCTTCCCCGCACGCGCGTTCCCCGTTCTCTTCGCCGCGTACCGCTTCCCCTCGCCCCCCCTCCCCGTTCTCCTCCCCACGTCACGCTTCTCCGCTTTCCTCTCCCAGTAACGCAAACCATTCCGGAGCGCGGCGACCGCCAACCGATCAACAGTCCACAAGGCTAGGCCCCCCGCCAGCAGAAGCAGCTTACGTGGACTGGCCGTCAACTGACGTGTCACCGTCGGGATCCTCACCCGCAGCGGCAGGCCCGCCGTCCCCGTCGACAGCAGGAGCGGCTGTAGCGGGGCTTCGGTCGCGGAGCCGGCTCGGTCCAGGCTACAACCATGCGACAGCCGACGACGCCGCAGGCAGCCCTCGCTGCGCCTCACCCCACCATCATGATGCCCCTGCCGCTAGTCCCAGGGCTGCTACCGCGTTAGCTCCTGGCGCAAACCGTGCGGCGCTAGGAGGTGCCGCTGCGAGCACGCAGGAATGCGACAATCTGCCGGACCTCGCGCGACCGCAGCTGAAGGCCACGCGGGGTAGCCCGCACGACGCGCACAGGCCGGTGTCCCCGAAAAACCAGCCAGTCCGCCGCTTTGCGCTTCCGCCGAAACTGTTGTGCGGTTCCTTCTCGCCCTCCTCCCCGTCATCCCTCTCCCCCGCCACCCCCTCCCCTGTGCATCCCTTCTCCCCAGCCTCCCCTTCCGCCTGAAAACACTCCATCTCGTTCCCGCATTCCGCCTCTGCCCCTTTTTCTTGTCCCCCTTCCGCCTCCCCGGCATCTCCCGCCTCCCCCACGCCCTCCGCCTCTCCCGCTTCCGCCTCGTGCTTCTCCTCTTCCTCAACCGCGTCGCACTCGCGGTTCGCATCGCTGTCGCCAGCGTCGCCCCTGGGCGTGCTAAAGTCGCCCACGCCGTATTCACCGGCGAGCAGGTGCGCGTCGCCGCAGCCCAAGAGCCCACTGGGACCGGCGGCATGTGCCGCTGGATCGAACACCGGCGCGTGTGCTGCTAGTGGCGCCGGTGATAGTGCCAGCTGCAACGGTGAAAAGACGTCTCGTCAGCTGCAGCAGCAGCAGGCGCAGAGGCGGGGGGCGATGGCGGGCGCGCAGGGGCGGGCCTTCAGTATCGCGGACTTGTTACGCCTCCACTCGCGCTCGCTCTCCTACCGCGCTGCGCCCGATGCGCCGCTCTCCGCTACCTCCCCCTCACAATCGCGCGGAGACTCGCACGAGGCGGGCGCGTGGGGGCCCGACGTTCGCTGGCGCGGGGAGGAGGGGCTAAGCGGGCAGGCGCAGCAGGTGCAGGGGTCTCCGCAGCAGCGACCGCAGCAGCGGGTCGGGGGGAATGGGCAGCGGAGGCGGGCGATAGTGCGGTGTGTGTCGGAGCAGGTGGAACGACGGAGCGTTTATAGCGGGGATGGGATGATGGGGCAAGGGGGAAGGGGAGGGGAAGGGGAAGCGCAGAAGGCGAGCGCGAATGGGTGGGCGTCCGCCGACCTGGCGCTCAGACTACAGCGCGCCGTTGCCACTGCTGCTCGCGGCCGCGCTGCTCCGACTGCTGCTGCTGCTGCTGCTGCTCCTGCTGCTGCCGCCACTAGCACCAACTCTGCTACCGCTAGCAGCACTGCAAGCCATGCTGTTGTTGCTGGTAGCAGGGTTACCAGCTCAGGTGAGGACGCAGAAATCAGAGAGTCGGTGCACAGGTTGGAGGACAGGGAAGAGGCGAGAGAAGAACGGGAATGTGCGGAGAGGGGGAGCGGTTGGAGCGTTGATTGGGACGAGGAGGAAGGGCAGGCGGAGGAGAGAGAGGAGAAGGGGGAGGAAGGCGGAGAAGGCGGGTGGGAGGTGGCTCAGGGGCAGGGGGAGAGGCAGGGAGAGAGGCAGGCGGAGAGAAACACAGAAAGGCAGGGCTGCAGAGGAGGCAGCAGCAGCAGCAGCAGCAGCGGCAGCATACGGCTGTGCCCGGGAGCCTTTCTGGGCAGCAGCAGCTCCTTCAACGCGCGCCCCCGCTTCCCCGTCAACGCCTCCACCTCTGCTGCTGCCGCTGCCCTCGCTGCTGGGGGCAGCTGCCGCCGCAGCAGCAGCCGCCTAGCGCTGTCGGATCTCTACAGCAGCAGCCGGGACTCGAGGCTCGCTGGGCATGGCACGGGCGCGCATGCTGGTGCCACTGGCAGCAGTGGCGGGGGGGGTGAGAGCGGGCGTGTGAGCAGCAAGGGGGGCAGCAGCATGGGGTGGGGCAGCAGGAGTGGGCGTGAGGTGTGGAAGGGCGCACGGGACACGCATGGCACGCAGTCCAGCCTCTTCCAGGGGGGAGGCAGCGCCAGGCTGCTGGGACTCACGCTCAGCCCGGTCAGGGCCAGGGGCGGCGCAGATGGGAAGAGTGGGCGGCAGGGCGATGGCAGGGGGGTGAGCGGGCCTCTTTCCCCGGCCGTTGTGCCGCGCTCGCCTTCCGGTGTGGGCCTGCTGCCCTTACCCACCGCCGCTGCTCCTTCTGCTCTTCACTCGCCCGTGCTCGTGCCTGGGGCTGCTGGTGCTGCTGTGCCTGGTTCGCCCGTGCCGTACCAGAGAGGGAGGCTCGGGAGAGAGGCGGTGGCAGCAACAGCAGCAGCAGCAGCAGCAGCAGCAGCAGCAGCAGTTGGGGCAGCAGCATAGCGAGCAGAGTGAGGTGCATCACGAGCATCATCAGCAGCAGCACGTCACGACGAGCCTCCACCAACACGCACATGTGTCATGTGTTGGCTTCAGTGTCAGCACTGTCAAAACCACAAGCACACACGTTGGAAGCACACATGCCACAGTCACACAGCAAAGCTGCAGCAGAGCCACTTTAGAAGCAGCAGCGGCAGCTCAAGTCCACCAGTCCCCTGCATCAGCGTGCCCAGGTGCGCCCCCAGCAGCCTTGGCACTGCTTGTTGCCAAACCTGGAGGCGAGGCTTGGGCAGCCGCAAACAAGGGAGCTCGTGACGGAAGCCAAGGGTCGGAAGAGCAGGCTCGGCAGCAGCGGCTGGGGAAGCAGTCAGAGCGGGCAGCGGAGCGGAGGAGGAAGGCACGTGCGAGTGATTTTGTACTGAGGAAGGCGTATGCTGACATCCGAGAGGAGTACGTGGTGGCTCGCAAGGAGATCGGCAGCGGGCAGTTTGGCATCATCCGCAAGTGCGTGCAGCGCCACACCGGGCTGACCTTCGCCTGCAAGACGATCGCCAAGGCGGGCATTCTGACGGCGGAGGATGCGGAGGACGTGCGCAACGAGGTGGGGTTCCTGGAGGAGCTGCGCGGCCACCCGCACATCGTGGCGGTGCAGGCCACGTTTGAGGACGATGACAACATCCACATCGTCATGGAGCTCTGCAAGGTCGGCGACCTCTTCGACCGCATCAAGCTGCGCGGCCGCATGCCCGAGCCCGCCGCTGCCGCCATCTGCAAGTCGCTGGTGGGCGTGCTGCTGCACTGCCATGCGCGTGGCGTGCTGCACATGGACGTGAAGCCCGAGAACGTGCTCATGTGCCACCGCCTAGACGATACCCACATCAAGCTCATCGACTTTGGCGTCGCCACACGCTTCACTCCAGGCGTGCCGTGCCGCGAGGTGCTGGGCACACCCGAGTACATCGCCCCGGAGGTGCTCAAGGGCTCGTATGGCCCGCCCGCTGACCTGTGGAGCGCCGGTGTGGTGCTCTATGTGATGCTGGCGGGGGCGCCCCCCTTCTGGGAGCGTGCGAGTAAGACGCTCAAGGAGTCCATTCTGGGGGATGACGTGCCCTTCTCCCAAAGCAAGTGGGGCGACCGGTCGGCGGAGTGCAAGGAGCTTATAAGGAGGATGCTTGACAAGGATCCGGCGACGAGGATAAGTGGCAAGGAGATTCTTGGTGAGTAATTGTGGTCTCGCAAAGACCACGCTGTAGACGTTTTCACCTCTAGACCACGCTGGCCCCCTCCTCCCCCCCCCTCCCCCTCCCCCCACCCTCTGTCTTATCTCACATACGAACGCTCCCTCCTGCACTGTCCTCCAAAAACATTGCCATGAAACGCACTGTCTCCTCCACCACCCTCTCCTCACCACATCACCTTCCACGCTCACATCACTGCACACCCTAACCCGCAACCTGCCCATCTCCTCCTCATGCCCACCCATGCAGAGCACCCATGGATCAAGATGCACACCAGTGCCAGTTGAAGCCCATGGGCGTGATGGCATGTGCAGGGGAGAAATTAAATCATATGTAACTCGACTGTAGGGTACAGGAAAGAGACTACTTTGGGTGGCACAGATGCTGCTACTTAGGGTCAGATCGTATCATGAAAGTGCAGCAGCCATTGATTCTTATCGAAGATAAGATCATATTTACATGTAGCATGTAGAGTTATGGAGTGAAGGTGGAGTTATTCTGTAGGCCAGCTTCGGGTATGGGGGATACACCTTGGAGCGAGGTTGCGTGAAGGTGACGAACAGGGCTGTCGATTCAAGGGCATATGGCCTTAATGCCCTGAACATTAAGGTCTGGCTTTGCTTCAGGTTCGGAATTCGAAGGGTTGGTTTTCTGGGGAGCCCTGAATTCTCACGGGCTTGGTCTGGGCCTTCCCCTGATTCTTACAGGGGGCACTTGAGGGGGTTTCCCTGATTCCCCGTGGAAGTTTCGGGCCTTCCTCGGAAACTTCCACAACACTTCTCCCCCCCCCCCCCCCTTTCCTTTCCCTTCCCATCCCACCCACCCACCCACCCACCCACCCACCATCCCATCCCATCCATCCCATTTTGCCGCCAAGTCAGACAGAGCACTCGCGTGACTCATCGGATATGTTATAGAATGGCTGACCAATTGCACTGCTTCCCCCCCCACGACCCTCCGTTGTGCCCAATGCCCATCCCCCCCAAGCATCCTGTGCCTCGCCCACCCAGCTTCCCTCCATTCCACCACCACGTCCACCACTGGAGACCACTCTTGGGTTTGAGTGGAGTTGGTGCCCTTGTGAATCGTGTGAGTCGTGGCACATTGGCCTGGCGTGTCGTGAATCACGTCCAGACCACCTCCATCCACCGCCCTCAACATTCCATCCACCGCCCTCAACTCACAAACACCCCTCCCACCCATTTAAGGGTTTACCCTGTCAAACTATGCATATTGTGTTTGTGTAGGCTGCTAGTGGGGTAGCCCATATGGGGTACAACCCAATGTTAGGGTTAGCTTATGTACCCAACACTTCATCAATGCATCTCATTCCTGCTGTCAGATTCTAACATGGTTTCAGAGCACTAAGGTCCGTAGGACCGTTTTTTTTCGGGCCCACCTACCACTGCGGTTACCGCGCTACCCCACGTACCTGCCTGCCTTGCCTTGCCTTGCCTTGTGACGTGCTGCACTACGCGAGCCGTCCAGCAGCCCTAGCGCTGCCTCCTGCTGCCCTAGGCCAGCGCGCTGCCCCTAAAGGCCCGTAAGGCCCGCGCGCCGCCCCTACACGCCCTCCAGGCCTGCGCAGCCCGCACCGAGCCGCGCGCAGCCCGTTGCTACCGCGAGCTGCCCCCACCGAGCCCGTGCAGCCCGCACAGAGCCGCGCGCAGCCCCCCTGCATCCGCGCGCAGCCCGCACAGAGCCGCGCGCAGCCCGCTGCAGCCGCGCGCAGCCCGCACCGAGCCGCGCGCAGCCCGCTGCAGCCGCGCGCAGCCCGCACCGAGCCGCGCGCAGCCCGCTGCAGCCGCGCGCAGCCCGCACCGAGCCGCGCGCAGCCCGCTGCAGCCGCGCGCAGCCCGCACAGAGCCGCGCGCAGCCCGCTGCATCCGCGCGCAGCCCGCGCCGAGCCCACGCAGCCCGCGTAGCGCCGCGCGCGGGCCTACTCCTGCCTCGCGAGGCCCGCGCGCCGCCCGCAGCAGCCCGCGCGCGGCTCGCAGCAGCCCGCGCCGAGCCGCGCGCGGCTCGCCACTGCCTAACGCGGCCGCGCGCGGCCTGCAGCAGCCCAGCGCGCTGTCAGCGCAGCCCGCGCCGAGCCGCGCGCGTCCCTCTGCCTCGGCCCCGACCTGCCGCTGATACGGCCCCGCTCTGCAGCTGCCACGGCCCCGACCTGCCGCTGAAGCGGCCCCGCCCTGCAGCTGCTTCGGCCCTACTCTGCACCGGGTGTTGCGGCCCCGACGTCGCCGCTGTCGTGCGCCTACTACGCCGCCGCCCATTGAGCGCCGGCCCTGCTCGCCCGGCGAGCGCCTGCTCTTCCAGCCTTTGGTGAGCGCCTGCCTGCCTGCCTGCCGGCCTGCCTGTCTGCTTGCCTGCCTGCCGGCCTGCCTGCCTGTCTGCCTGCCTGCCGGCCTGCCTGCCTGCCTGCCTGCCTGCCTGCCTGCCGGCCTGCCTGTCTGCCTGCCTGCCAGCCTGCCGGCCTGCCTATCTGCTTGCCTGCCTGCCGGCCTGCCTGCCTGCCCGCCTGCCTGCCGGCCTGCCTGCCTGCCTGCCTGCCTGCCTACCTACCGGCCTGCCTGCCTGCCTGCCTGCCTGCCGGCCTGCCTGTCTGCCTGCCTGCCTGCCTGCCTGCCTGCCTGCCTGCCTGCCTGCCGGCCTGTCTGCCTGCCGGCCTGCCTGCCTGTCGGCCTGCCGCGCCTGCCCTGCCCGCGCTACTGCTGCTGCTACTGCTACTGGCCGGTGGCCAGATGCAGCCCCAGCGACGTTCACGTGAGTCTCTCACGCCCCAGCAGCTTAGTGAGTGGTATACTAGCTGGGGTTGTCGCGGTAGCAGTCGTAGCTGTCCCCCTGGAGCTGGTCAGTTGGGAGCGACTGGCAGTGGCCAGCTGCAGCTGCAGCGGCGTCCACGCGAGACACTTACGTCCCGGCAGCTCCACGAGTGGTACGCTCAGTGTAGCAGGTCTACGCGTACAGTTCGCTGCCAGTACGTCCTTCGCACAGGTGATAGGACTGGTCAGCCTTGCGGGACGCTTGGTCACACACAGTCCCGCTGCTTCGCCCGTCTGAGCGACGACTGGCGTACAGTGTTTGGCGACGAGGCTGAGCTCCCCGACTGGCTGGAGCTGCTTGGACAGAGGGTAGATATCTTTGCTCCTGACTATGATGCTATTCTCACTGCCATGTATGCATTGCCTACTAGTGTTGACCGTGCCTGTTACCTGTGCGTCCCGCCTGACCCTGGTATAGCACCTGCTGCTCCCGGTACTGGTGAGGCTGCTGCCCTAGGTGCTCGTGCGTCTCCTCCTCTGGGTGCTGGTGAGGCTGCTGCTCTAGGTGCCGGTACGTCTCCTGCTCCAGGTGCTGGTGGGTCTGCTCTCTCTAGTTCTGCGCCTGCTGCGGCCTTGCACACCTTCACGCTTGACTCAGGTGCTTCCCGCTCCTTCTTTCGCGACTGCACCACACTCACGCCGCTTAGTCGGCCGGTTGCAGTCTCCCTGGCGGACCCCTCTGGGGGTCCAGTCCTTGCCCACTACTCCACGGTTCTGCCGTGTTCGGCCGCCCCGTCTGGCTTGCTGTCAGGTCTTTACCTCCCCTCGTTCTCTACGAACTTGGTGAGTGGAGCTGACCTCCAGGATCAGGGGGTGCACCAGTTCACTCCTGCGAGTCAGCGGGTGACTCACTGTACGTGTGCTCGGACCGGCCGACACCTGGCCACGTTTTCCCGTGCGCCTGGCTCGAGTCTGTACACCCTGACCACTGCGTCCGCTCAGGTAGCTGCGTCTGCGTCTGCGTCCGGTCAGCCGACGGCCCCCTGCGAGTGTCGCGCTTTGTCGCACCAGACCCTCCTGTGGCACCACCGCCTTGGTCACCCCTCGGTGCAGCGCCTTCGTGGCATGCACTCTCGCTTCCTGGTTTCTGGTCTGCCCAGGTCTTTGCCTGCCCTGCCTCCCTCGCTTGCGCCGCCCTGCATTCCTTGCGTCGAGGGGCGGCAGCGCGCCGCTCCTCACTCCTCCTCGTTCCCTCCCACAGAGGCTCCCCTGCAGACTCTCCACCTGGACGTGTGGGGCCCAGCCCGCGTCCGTGGACAGGGCCACGAGCGGTACTTCCTGCTGGTTGTTGACGACTACACGCGTTACACCACGGTCTTTCCCCTGCGCAGCAAGGGGGAGGTCCCTGCTGTTTTGATCCCTTGGATCCGCGCTGCCCGTCTCCAGCTCCGCGAGCGGTTCGGGACAGAGTTTCCCGTCCTGCGTCTGCACTCTGACAGAGGTGGTGAGTTCTCCTCCGACCTCTTGGCAGCCTTCTGTGCGGAGCACGGCATCACCCAGTCGTTCACGCTTCCGGACTCTCCGCAGCAGAATGGGGTTGCTGAGCGCCGCATTGGCTTAGTCATGGAGGTCGCTCGCACCTCCATGATCCATGCGGCTGCCCCCCCATTTTCTGTGGCCGTTTGCGGTCCGGTACGCCACGCATCAGCTCAACCTCTGGCCCCGTGTCTCCTTGCCGGAGACCTCGCCCACACTGCTGTGGACGGGGAAGGTTGGCGATGCGTCGCGTTTCCGGGTCTGGGGTGCTCGTGCCTTTGTCCGCGATACCACCGCGGACAAGCTCTCCGCCCGTGCAGTTCCCTGTGTCTTCCTTGGCTTTGTCCCTGACGCGCCTGGTTGGCAGTTTTACCACCCCACCTCGCGCCGTGTCTTTGCGTCTCAGGACGTCACGTTCGACGAGTCGGTTCCCTTTTACCGTCTCTTCCCCTACCGCACTGCCCCTCTCCCTCCCCCGCCGCTCTTCCTCGCTCCAGGTGCTCCCCAGGTCGACCCTCTCCCCGCTCCAGGTCCTGCTCCCTCAGGTGTGTCTCAGGTAGACCCTCCTCCCTTCCCTGCGCCGGTTGAGGTCACTGGTGACTCAGGTCCTGCTGGGGGTGGTCCTGCTCGGGGTGCTACTTCTGGGGGTGCTGAGTCTGGGGGTGCTGAGCCTAGGGGTGCGGAGCCTGGGGGTGCGGAGCTTGAGGGTGTAGAGCCTGGAGGTGCTGAGCCTGAGTGTGAGGGGTCTGGAGGTGCTGGAGCTGGTGGTTCTGGGGCTGCTGAGGGTGCTAGCGCTGGAGGTTCTGGAGCTGCTGGAGGTCCTGGTGCTGGTGGCGCTGGAGCTGCTGAGGGTGCTGGCGCTGAGGGTTCAGAGTCTGCTGTTGCGCGGTCTCCTTGGAGTAGCCGCCTTCGTCCACGTGTGCCTCTCACCTCGCAGCAGCTGCACGACTGGTACGGTCGCCGTCTGCGTCGCGCTTCTGGAGCCCGGG